TTTAAACAATCATATTAAATGAATAAACGCTGTTTATTAGCGAAAACTCGAGATTTTCGATGGTAAATTTGTCCCAACTTTTTTGCTGCTGTACTGTACTGCTGTACTGTGTATTCACAAAAATAGGATTGCTTTCTAATTTTGTATAGTTAATCCCTAAGTGTCATACAACAATACCAAATTACTTTTACGTTATCAGAAAAGTTATAATAATTATTATTAATTAGCTCCGTCGGCTAGCTTCAGCTTCATGTGAGTGACATCACCGGAGCCTAAACCCCCTTTGCCCCGATTCTGGGGGAGGGGACTCAAAAGTCTTTAACGCACATGCGACTCTTGAGTTGCAGCTGTCCATGGGCGGCGGTAGTCACTTACCATCAGGTGACATCGTAACAAAAAAGTCTCTACAATCTATACAAGTTAGACATGGAAATTATTGCTACTATTAAATCATTTTCTGAAATTATTGGTTTCAGGTAAAACAATTTCACATGTGATTTCGTCACAGACAAAGACGAATGGCATTAAAATTAATCAAAATCCTTTTTATCTAATATTACGACACTTTTTTTTTATTTAGACATTTCGCGAGTCTTGCGCCAGCATAATAATTAAGTCGCAGTGGTTTTGTAAATCAGTCACAGGAGCGATGATATGTTTGTGCAATCACATGTGAGATATCATATGATTTATCACATGTGATTGCCATTTCATTCCATCCCTAATTCAAGTTATACTGTACATGATATAAAACAAGACATTAAAACGGTCAACATTCGACCGAAGCGATCTCTAGTTAAATTAAAAGTACAATATAACCATAGACAAGTAACAAGACAGCACCGCTCTGCACCTAATGACAAGTACAACCATAAACATTATACAACTATACTAGATTTTCCAGCTCGTTCCAGCTTTCTAAATTCTTTGGGTCGCGCCGAGACATTGTCGATGTAATGTTATGGTATTTACGTAGGTTTCACGTTATAATGTATATAGCATGGTGTCAATTCGACGAGGACCGGTCCGGTAACATGGTCCGGGTCGGGGTGGTTTTTAGTGGAATCACCACATACTTCTGGCTCCTGAGTCCCCGAGGAGCAGGAGATCCGAAGGGATTTTCCACCCCGTCAACAAAAAAAAGGCAAGAATAAATGAATAACTGTGTAGTAATTAAACTTGACAGGGAATTTTACAGAGGGTAGAAAAGAGGTTAATTAGTATTAAGTGGCATTTGCGGAATATTGGCGGTGAAAATTATCGTATTTCATTGGATAAATAAAATAACACGACTAACTTTTTTATTCCAACCAGGAACAGACGCATTTTTACTTGAATGCGCCCGAATGAGGGTAGGTTTTCGAGTGAACGTGTGTATATTTCTTTGACAGAAACAAATTGATTTTGGCTTAAGAGGTGTCGGGGTTAGATTATCCTTAATTGAGAGTGTGACACTGAGCATAATATATCAAAATTAAAAGAGCGGGTCCTTGGCGCCATTTTAGGTATCTTTTTTTTCCTAAAAAACCTGTCGAATCTTTTAAAGCATTTTAGAACAAAACATACACTTACCTGTGGTATATTCCTTTTTCTTTATTTACATTTTCGGAATACATAGGAAGGCACTTTATAAATTTTCTCGAATTAATTAGTATACGCGCTGCTGGCAGTGGTCCTAATTAGGACCCTCGCGTTTTGTGCGCTGGTGGCGTATCTACCTCTTATTTGTAAGTATATATCATTGAATGGGAGTACCCCATGGATGAAGGAATTCATAAATGTCTTATATACGTATGACATTCATAAATGTCATCGAAAAATAAATACAATTTGAAATATTTAAATGTAATCTGGAACGAGAAATTCTGAGAAAAAGATACTTGAAATTTATCGTTAACAAAGATTGTTTTTGTTTTTTTAGTAATAATTTACTTGTTTTGTATACACTTCATTTTTATCACTGCAAGTATGAGTTGAGACGTATTTTAGACTCAAATTTTCCCTACTATAACTTTGGTCGTATTTACGTAACAAAACTAAAACTTGCCCCAAGTCTATTGTAGTGTAATGGGCAGTTTAGGGATTATAGGGATTATTCTAAACCCTAAAGTACCCATTTGACGATAAAATTAGGCATATACATATTAAAAGCAAAGTAATCTAAGATGGGAAGACAGGATAAGTATTTATACGTATATTAGAAATAGTGTATAATACGAATGTTGACTTGTTTTAAATCTAAATGGCCTTTTGGTGGTGGTTGATGATTCTGACTCTTGAACCATCTATCGTGGGTTCGATCTCATTCCAGGACAAATAATTTCTTTCGGCCGCCATCGCAACTATGTTTCACAATCATTTTTTAGTCTTTCATGACAACCACTACAACAAGAACATTTATTCTTTGCAACTAGTTGTTGCTTATAAAGAACAAAATCGTCGTCATTCTAACATTGTATTGTGCGAGGGACATGTCCTTTTATTATCTAGGCTTAATTTATCTATATTCCAGATATTTTATAAGAATATTTAGGTATGTTTATCCGCAGTTCGGATACAGTTCGCAGTCGTATGTGAGATACGTTCACTTTAACAGTCCACTGCTTGATATAGGCCTCTCCTAAGAAAGGAGGTTTTGGCCTACTATACCACGCTGGTCAGACAGGGTTTGTGTTAAGTTTTCCTTCTTTTTGCAGTGCTGGTGTCCTGCGTTGTTTTGCACCCTTAGTCGGCTCTCTAATTGGGGTAGTGACATGCCGTATTCTTAATCCGTCACTATACGTCTTTTCATTTAGTTTATAGTTATTAAAATATGATAAATTGACATTGTAAAATATCTGAATATTAACAATGTTTTAATTATATTCCTAAAGCATGTAATTATAAAATGTTAAGTATTGCATGCCGAGAGGCCGATAATGGAGAAGCTATGCCACATTATTATATCACAACAATCCGAATTGTCCGAAGAGGGTCCAGTCTGTTAGAAATTTAGCGCCCGTAAGTTTGTACGAACATAACATTAGCAACGAGTAATTGGTGTATTAAATATTTACTCGTAGTAATTAATACTAAACATATAATGCGTTGTTACGAATCTATAATCTATGGTAGGTAAAAATTTTAGTGCAAGAAAATTGATAATTTTCACCGTTTCAACCCCCTTTTTTTTTTTTTTTGTTGACGGGGTGGAAAATCCCTTCGGATCTCCGGCTCCTCGGGGACTCAGGAGCCAGGAGTATGTGGTGATTCCACTAAAAACCACCCCGACGGCCGGCCTCAGGTGTCCTACTCTGGGGAGGACCCGGACCATGTTATTTCAGGTCCTCACCGTTTCAACCCCTAAGACTAACTTTTGCTTAGGATTCGAAAAAAAGATTTTTTTAAAGAATAAAACATGTTACATAGCCCGCGTCTACGTTCCTTAAAAAGGCCAGCGTTAACTTAAAAACTATATGCAACTGTGTATTTTATAAATATCTTATTGCACTTTATGATAATGCTCTGTACACTCACTCCATGATTCACCGATTTATTACTATTCTCGGAGAATCTATTTCAGTGAACACAAAATACACACAATAGGAAGGGTACACCATCAATCTCAGCCATATAGACAACTTTAAAACTGAAATGACTGCCTTTGGACGAGTTCCAGGCTCATTCCAATAGGAAATGTAAGCACGTAAAAATTTATTAGCTGTTTACAAACGGAATTATACCACCTAATTAACCGAAAGCACTCAATAATGCTCAATTTATGAGTGTCGTAAAGCTCTGAAGATAAGCGTAGTACAGAAAAGCTATAAACAACATTTAAATACATTCGAAATATTGTCTATGTCTAAAATGTGTGTATAATTAGGAAATAAACAAATAACAATATGAAAAAAAAAAGTAAGTAGGCAGGACTTCTGTTCGATTATCAAACTTTTTTTTAAAGTACCAAACCGTAACCTGCCGATGCAGTTGGCCTACATGATCATTGTTTTTTCCATAGCTAGTAGAGAAATCGACTTGAAACATTTAATTTTCCAGATAACTCGAACGTTTATTTTCTCAAACATTTAAATTCCTTGCATTTGGATGCAATTTACTATATAATTATATGTAACCTGTCATTACCAACAGCCAAGACTGGCGATCGATAATAAATGGTAATATTTATGAAGGGCTTACCTTGAGCGTATGTAAACAAATGGAGACTGGCGAACAAGAATATCCAGTTCCCGACACCAAAACGACACATCCCTGTCCGGCACATGTTGCAAAACACTACAACGACACTACACAATATGTTTTAATTCATGCTAATCACATTTTCACATAAAATTTACGGATATTTAAGTTAAGTTCTACTCAGCGAGAGACCGACGTTACTCCGTACAATCCGCCATTTTCAAGCGAACACAGCTACGTTCAGAAACACAACTCAATAGTGAAGAGGGCAATGCCCGGGTATATGTTTCGTGAAGATTGCAGCATGTGCGGGTTAAGTGCTTTGAAGATAGGCACAGGACTGGAACCAACTTGTTCAGAAATCAACGTTTTGCAAAAAATATATTCCTATGTCTCTCAAATGTATAAAGTATTTATTGTTTTACTTTGTCTTCAATTATTTATATATAAAACAAATACATTCGACATTATCGTTTCAATTTCTAATTTTAATTTTTTTGATTGAACTAAACTCAATCCGAATTGCTTTTAATCCGAATGTATTTAAACAACTGAAAAATATATTGTAAATATATTAATTTAAAATAATAATACTACGAAAATACCCAAAGACAGTTCCAAAAAAAGAGAAAAGTAAGATTTATAAAGATGAACGGGAAGCATTAACTTCAAACCTCACGTCACTTATGTCAGACATGTCAGTTCAAAGTGTCAAACTTTATAACACTGATTTGTGTACAGTGTGTGTTTGCTTCAATTTATATACGAAAATTTAAGCATTAATCGTTAAAAGTTTAAGTTTTATTTTGTAACCAGTAAACATGGAACTGTTATACTCCATGAGGCGTAAGCCTCTGAAATGCGAACCTCCTCATTTTGAAAGGTAACATTTATCTTTAGGATAATATTTGTAGTTACTAACTCGACTATAATTTACACAGAAATCTTAGACAAACTAACTCCAATATAATTATTTTGTGATTTCGGCTTGTAAAGTAGTAAGTAGAATTGAATGGATCCTATACATCTGTTTTACTTTTATGAAATTCTCAAATGAGAATCAAATGAAATATTTTGAAAATAGATACATGTCTGGCAGCATCTAACATTAACTGTGAGGCAGGCTATATGCTTATTTATATCTAAATAACCTTTAATGATCGACATCATGAACGTGTTTAGTGTAACACAGGTCTAACAGTTGTTTTAAACTCTTTATATTTTGAACTCAAACTTAAAATATATTTTATTTCATTAAATTGTTTGAAATTGTCTTTTATGTAGACTCTAAAGTCATAGATTAACACACACAATAGCAACAATCTATGTTTTGTTTAGGAAAAAATTAAAACATTTGGAAACCTATTACATGCCTGTGCCAATCTGCGACTGTATCCAAGGGGTTGAGCCTTATGAGAAGAAAGAGCAAACAAACTAACTAGTTATACTACTATTTATATTTAAATCTTTGTTTCTTTCTGCAGCCCTTCAGACTATGATGTCATCCGTCCAATCTGCACTATATCCAATGCAAACATCATTGCATTCTCATCACCTACAGAACTGACAGACTCGGAAGGTGACACTTGGGGTGGACATGTTTACGTGTGCGATTTAGATACTCCATGGGACAGTCATAAAGTTACCAGTACTTCTTATCCAGTGAGTAACTAGTTTTTCTAATATCCTTATGTAGATACCAATCTTCTGTATGTGAGTTTGTTACTAAACCCTAACCAAACCCAGCGACTTTTGATGAAATTTTTGATAAGTGTAAACAATTATGATAATATTGAGTGTTGTTAAAAACAATAGACATGTGAATGTCTGAAAGAGCAGGTCAAGATTGCTTGCCTGTAACCCAAACTTTCTGTTGTCTGTAAGAGATTGTTCATTAGCAGATACTGTGTTATAATAAATGCTTTTGTGAATAGTTTTCTCTCTCGGATATTAAGTTCCTGCGCCGGAGAGTGCGAAACGATCTGGCCTCCATAAGCATTTGCTTAAGGGTAGCAGACTCACCTGCAGATTGATTAGTCTTATAGTTGTCGGAACTATAACAGGACATCTTACCCTGATCCGTAAATATTCATCATCAATGCAACGGACAGCCCTGTGTGCAGGGGATGTTTGTTTAAGCAGAAGAAATTGCCGCCCACGTAATCCTTGAATGCGAGGGAGTAACCTAACCTAACCAGTCCTCGATGCATAAAGGACCACTCTTGAGTCTAAATGCGGGTACCAATACCAAGGGTAGCAGACAGACCTATATGTAGCCTTAGGAGAAGCAGCAACGAGATGTTAGTGCAACTGGTCCTTGTGTACCTCTACATTACTACATGAGCGGGGTAGATAGGTATAAGACTCTTCACATGACCTGCCATTTAAAACCTTGTTGTACAGAACACTGTGGTTTATTCGGTTCGAGTTCCACCTACCCCTCACTATTTGACCCCACTAAGGTGACATCCTGTTTGGACTGCCACACTAGAAAAAAAAATTTAGTTCTTCTTTAAACAAGAGTGTCTTTATTTCAGGTGTCTGCACTAGAATGGGACCTGGAAGGAAAACTGTTACTTGTGGCTACAACAGTGGGTAGTGTGTCAGTTTTTACTCAGAAGGACTACCTGCTTAACGAGTGGTCATGCCTGTACACAGCCAATTTCTCTGGTAAGTATATTAGATTTACCATAACACTTCACCAAGAACAGCTTAATAGTCACATCACATCAATAGCCTTTAATAGTCCACTGCTGGACATAGGCCTCTCCTTAGAAAGGAGGTTAATAATATTACACTTTAAAATTCTTCATATACCGCAGCAACATAAACGACCTACAGCCATAATCATATACATGTAACATAAAAAGAACTCAAAAAATTTTGGTCCTGCATCCCCAAGGAGCCGGTGATATGAAGGGATTTTGCACCCCGTCACCAAAACAAAAGTCTGTTTTGCCAGACAACGATTAGATTCCTAAAGTCAGGCCGGCGACCGGCCATTAAGGAAACCAGCCAAGACCTTTGCAACATTTTAGTTTGCGCCGACCCCAAAGGTCACCAGATTGTAAGTGACTACTGCCGCCCATGTACTCAAGATAAACGACCAACAGCCATAACATACATATTTGACAGGCCTGTTGGTCTAGTGGTTAGTGGCCCTGACTGCTAAGCCGGAGCTCGTGGGTTCGATTCCCACCCATGACAAATATTGTGTGATGAGCACGGTCATTTGTTCTGTGTCTGGGTGTAATTTATCTATAATATGTAGGTATTTAAAAATGTATAAGTATGTTTATCACCAGTCTGGTTACCATAGTACAGGCTCTGCTTAGTTTGGGATCAGACGGCCGTGTGTGAGATGTGTGAAGTTATTATTATTATACATACACACGCGCACTCCTGTTTAAATGTATATTTTTATTGCTTTATTTGGTCGAGTGTAAATATAATCCCATGAATAATTTATTAATTAATACTTTCAATTAATAACAATACATTATTCTTCCCACAGGAGAACACATAATACGATCCATATTTTTCCACAACGGCCGGCGCGTGGTGGCGGTTGATAAGAAACCAGATGCTCCCATCACGGAGAGAATACAGTTGCTGAGGTCCACTCCCACATTGAAAGGATTTGGGTAACTACTATTTATATGTATTTATCAACAAAACCAGCCTTACTGCGAATATAATATATGGAGTCGTATACAACAGATATTGCGTAAACACTCTTATATTTTGCAGGGGTTCGCCTCTGGAAGGGGCTCTCATAATAACAGCAACAGGTCTCATCGGAGCCCTGACTCCACCCTCGAGCACGAGCTCAGACATCAACCAAGCTCAAGTCTCCACGGACTGTCTGAGGCCGACCAGGGACCATATTACAACGGCCAGCATCGCACATAAGAGTGAGTAACTGATCCGCCTGTTTGAGGACTCCTTCAAATTTCATTTCTACTGTTTTGTCCTATCTCAGAATTTAAAAAGGATTTTCCTCATCATCAAGATCCTCGCCCTCTCTGTCTGAAAGCGTTAAACTCCAAAAGTACCAAATCGCCATAGTCGTAAAATAGTGTCCGATCCGACATTTATTGAACTTTACAGGGCACACACACATCACATCAACAGCCTTTAATAGTCCACTGCTGGACATAGGCCTCTCCTTAGAAAGGAGGTTTTGGCCTACTACACCACGCTGGCCAGACGGGTTGGTATAGGGTTAAGTGTCAAGTTTTCCTTCTCTTTGCAGTGCTGTTATGCTGCAGAGTTTGGTCCCTTAGTCGGCTCTTACGAACCCCACGGGATGAATTGTCGTAGTGAATTTCCGTATTCTTAATCCGTCACAACACGGACAACTTTACAGGGCAGCCATTTCAAATATTTATGTTCACTTTGACATGACTTTTTTTATTCTAAATCTGTAATTATGAAAATAGGTATACAAGTGACTAATAGGGTTTGTTTTAAAATGCAATAAAAGTAAAAACTAAGATTGTTTAGAACGTTCTAGAGAAATCACATGCTTCATTTTACTTTGAGCGCTTACCAAACAAACACTGAATAGTTAAAATCTAAAATACATATAATTTTTTTCTTGAATGTAGTGTAGGTATTATGGTAGTAACTACTTGTCTCGTGTATGGAGGAGTAAATAAAAAAGTTCAACTCACTGTTATCACAATGTATTTGTCCAGCACACGAGAAATAAACAGAAGGTACAGTAGGTAGAAGATACAGGCACAAGCACAGAACAATTAGCAGTTTATTTAGGAAGATAGCTAGTTCAAGAATAGCACAAGAGATCACTAGATATTTAAGCAGTATATAAATAATATATAAGCACTACTTTAACAGTATTTAGGCGGTACGAAGGGCTTAGGTAAGCAAGCGTGCGGTCTACAACGGTAAGGAATTCAGACTGTTCGAGACGGCGCACGCGCAGCGGTTGCCGGCGCGTATCTCATCTAGCTATACATTTAGATAGCATAGTGAAAGGAATGTGTCGATAGAATTTATCGACAAACCGATATGTATCGCTGTGAAATGTAATATTTATTTATGATGTACTTATATTAAAAACGTGTGTATTAATGATGTATATATTTGTAAATAATATTTTAGGTGTAGAATAAGTGTAAATATAGTAAACAAATAATAATATATAATCTATGTGTTAATGTTTGGTGTATTATGTGTAATACGTAGTAAAACTCAAATGAAAGTAGGGGGAATCCCTACACCGCCCCCCTCCAGAGACCGTCAAGGGCGATAATAGTCCGGGAACCTTACCTGACGACCAGAACGAGTAACAAAACCTGGTTGTACCTGTGGTCCTGGAGGATTATCTTTAACGGACAGTGTGTAAACCGGTTTGAGACGGTTTATCGACACTGTGGCCTCTTTATTTTTAAGGAGGATCTTAAAAACTTTATCCCCCCTGGCGAGAACCTTATGCGGCCCAGAGTAAGCAGGTTGGAGCGAACCTCGAGACGCGTCTTCACGAAGAAAGACGTGTTCACAGGTTTCCAGCTCCTTGAAAACAAACACTCTGGGGTGACCATGGCGCGAAGTCGGAACGGGACGCAACTTATCAGCGAAGTTTCTGAGACGAGCAGAAAAATCCGATAAGTCGGTGCTGCCGCCGGTACTGGGTTCAAAGAACTCGCCAGGGAGTCTCAAAGGCTCTCCGAAAACAAGTTCTGCCGGGGATGATTGCAAATCCTCCCTAAACGCAGTACGGATTCCTAACAAAACCCATGGCAACGACTCAGTCCACCTGTCAGTAGCGTGGCATACGATTGCAGCTTTCAGTTGCCGGTGAAACCGCTCGACAAGGCCGTTGCAGGCCGGATGGTAGGCTGTCGTGCGCTTATGCTCGAATCCTGCTAACTTCGACAGATTCTGAAATAATGCCGATTCGAATTGTCGTCCACGGTCAGTTATTATATCCGTTGGACAACCGAATCGACATATCCAGGTGGATATTAAAGCTTTCGCCACGGTCTCCGCCGTGATGTCCTCGATTGGACATGCTTCAGGCCAGCGAGAAAATCGGTCTACTGCTGTTAAGCAGTACCTGAAGCCGTGCGATACAGGTAGTGGACCTATAAGGTCAATATGTACCTGTTTAAAACGCGCTCTTGGTAATCTATATGTCCCAAGAGGCGCAGAAACGTGGCGATGGACCTTCGCCCTTTGGCACTGTATGCAAGAACGCGCCCAATTCCTACAATCCTTCCTCACCCCGGGCCAAACAAACCGTTCGGCCACTAATTTGGCCGATGCGTTAGCACCAGGGTGGCTAAGGGAATGCAGGCTATCAAACACCTGCTTCCGGAAGTGTATCGGAACATATGGCCTGGAAGTTGAGTTACTGACGTCGCAGTAAAGTGATAATGAACTTCCAGGGACGTGGCACTTCTCCAAACGCAAAGATGACCCTTCCGATAACAGGGTCTGCAGTTCAGAGTCAGATGCCTGACCTTGAGCTAAAATCTCCAGGTCGACGGGTGCTTCAAGTGCCTCAATACGCGACAGAGTGTCGGCAACAACGTTGGTCCTCCCAGAAATGTGCCGAATGTCCGTCGTAAACTGAGATATGAAATCCAGGTGTCTATACTGCCTGGGCGAACAGTTGTTCTTCCTTTGGTGGAAAGCAAAACTGATAGGTTTATGGTCAGTATAGACAATGAAGTGTCTTGCCTCGAGCATGTGCCTAAAATATTTTATGGCTTCATAAATGGCAAGTAACTCTCTGTCATAGGGTGAATATTTAGTCTGCGACGGACTCAGCTTTCTGGAAAAGAAGGCCAACGGCTGCCAAGCACCGTCTTTGAGCTGTTGTAAAACAGCACCGAGTGCCTTATCGGAAGCATCCGTGACTAGGGCGAGTCTAGCATCGCAGTCGGGGTGTGCTAGTAAGGCTGCCTCGGATAAACTGACTTTACAGGCATTGAATGCCGCCAAGGTGTCACTGGTAAGGCTGATGGGCTGCGATCCTTTAACCGAACCTGTTAACAATACATGTAAAGGAGCTTGAATCTCAGCTGCCCGTGGGAGGAATCGCCTATAAAAATTTAACATGCCCAAGAAGGCTCTAAGCTGCCGCACGTTCTTCGGAGCAGGAAAATCCTTGACAGCCTGCACCTTTGACTCTAAAGGCTTACAACCGTCCTTAGAAATGTGATAGCCCAAAAATTCGACTTCAGTTACACCAAAAATACATTTAGAAATGTTAACCAACATACCATACTGCTTCAGCCTGTTGAACACCTCGCGTAGATGCTGCTCATGTTCCTGGCTATTACGCGAAAATACCAAATAATCATCTAAGAAACAATAGACATTATCGAGTCCCCTGGTCATTTCATCCACAAAACGCTGAAAAGTTTGACCTGCGTTTCTAAGACCAAATGTCATATACGGGAATTCGAACAATCCGAATGGCGTCGTGATGGCCGTTTTCGGAATATCCTCCGGACTGACAGGTACCTGATTATAAGCTTTTTCAAGGTCAATTTTCGAGAAAATAGTACATCCGGACAAACTATGACTAAAGTCATGGATGTGCTTAATCGGGTACCTGTCAGGTACGGTACGGGCGTTCAACTTACGGTAATCGCCGCAAGGACGCCATCCATCGTTCTTCTTAGGGGCCAGATGCAGCGGAGATGACCAGGGGCTCTTAGAAGGCCTGGCAGTGCCACATGAAAGCATCGCCTCGAACTCCTGCTTCGCTATTTTCAGCTTGTCCGGGGCTAGACGACGTGGAGTTGAAGCTACTGGAGGTCCAGGGGTAGTGATTATGTGGTGTACAGTGTTATGAGGTAGTGTAGTGCGTCGCATACCGGCTGGTCGAGTTAATTCTGGAAACTCATTAAGAATTTTGTGGTACCGAGTCTCGCCAGTTACCACTTTAACAGAGGAAATACTGGCTCGAGCTACAGTCGCCACAGTTGACACAGAAGTTAACTGATCTATTAATCGCTTATTACGAATATCAATAGCAATGTTATAAAAATTTAAAAAATCTACGCCAATAATTGGCTTTGTGACGTCAGCAACGACGAACCGCCACGGAAAAGTTCTACGTAAACCAAAGTCTAAATTGAGATGTACAAAACCATATGTATAAATAGTAGAACCGTTCGCAGCACATAAACAGTAGTCCGTGCGAGAACGACGATCACGTAGCGCAGACTTCGGGAAGACACATAGATCGCTCCCTGTGTCAATCAGGAACTGGAGCTTCGACGTACGGTCCGTGATAAAAAGGCGACCAGCTGTATATGAAGGGCAATCGTCAGTCGCCATTACCGACCGCCCCTGGAGTTTTCCGGCTTGTAGTCGCACGGCCGGATACACTTCACAGCTTTTTCCTTGAAGTTACTGTGGTACCAGCATAGCGGGAACTTGCGGTAATTTGACTGGGACCGCTGTCTCGATTTATTGCGGCTACCACGAGACTTTGATCTGCCACGGTCACGTTGCCGGTCCTGTTTCTCAAGGGTCAGATTCTGCAGCTGTCTTCGTAACTCCGCTACTTCTTTCGTGAGTTCGTTGACTATGGAACCTTCAACTGTGGCTACCATAGACGTTGAAGACGCGAGGTCGTTGACTCGATCGGCTAAGTCCGCCAGGTTCTCCAGCGAGGCAGTGGCTGGTTGTCCTGCAAGCACGGTTTGGATGCCGTGAGGAAGACGGCTGATCCAAATCGTCCTCAAGAATTCGTCTGGAACGTTCACCGATGCCAGGCTCTGCAAGTGTCGGAGAAATTGGGAGGGCTTCCTATCTCCTAGCTCCTCGTGCATGAGCAATTGCTTCAGTTTGTTCTCCTTAGATGCACTCAGTCGCTTGATAAGCTCCGATTTCAACTTGGCATACTTATCCACCGAAGGAGGGTTGACAATGATATCTTTCACCTCTCTAGAGTGTTGCATGTCGAGGTGCCCGATGACATAATTAAATTTCGTATTGTCATCTCTAATCCCGGAAATCGCGAACTGTCCCTCTATCTGCGCGAACCAAATGTCGGGTTCCTCGGGCCAAAATGGTGGCACCCTTACTCCGACTCTAAAAACATCGACACTTTTTATCGACACTTGCCCGTCACTAGTGCTTGGGTGTGGCTCTTGTGGCGATGTGCCTTGCGCATCTTGGGATCCGGTACTCATGTTCGGTATACGGGGTCACCAGTGTAGGTATTATGGTAGTAACTACTTGTCTCGTGTATGGAGGAGTAAATAAAAAAGTTCAACTCACTGTTATCACAATGTATTTGTCCAGCACACGAGAAATAAACAGAAGGTACAGTAGGTAGAAGATACAGGCACAAGCACAGAACAATTAGCAGTTTATTTAGGAAGATAGCTAGTTCAAGAATAGCACAAGAGATCACTAGATATTTAAGCAGTATATAAATAATATATAAGCACTACTTTAACAGTATTTAGGCGGTACGAAGGGCTTAGGTAAGCAAGCGTGCGGTCTACAACGGTAAGGAATTCAGACTGTTCGAGACGGCGCACGCGCAGCGGTTGCCGGCGCGTATCTCATCTAGCTATACATTTAGATAGCATAGTGAAAGGAATGTGTCGATAGAATTTATCGACAAACCGATATGTATCGCTGTGAAATGTAATATTTATTTATGATGTACTTATATTAAAAACGTGTGTATTAATGATGTATATATTTGTAAATAATATTTTAGGTGTAGAATAAGTGTAAATATAGTAAACAAATAATAATATATAATCTATGTGTTAATGTTTGGTGTATTATGTGTAATACGTAGTAAAACTCAAATGAAAGTAGGGGGAATCCCTACAGTAGTAATAATATTTAGACAATGTGGTATCCAAATATGGTAAAAATTGAATTTCGTATTTTTTTTAAAACCGACATTATTCTACGATAATGACGGAATGAAAGAAAGAGCGTATTTCTTCCACAAAGGCCTGCAACGCGCTTGGGACTCCTAAGATACAGGCGTTCATGGGCGGCGGTAGTCGCTTTCAACCAAATGACCCATCTGCTCGTCTGCCCTCTCTTCCATTAAAGAAAAATGTTTAAACAGTTTTACGTATGGCGTAGTGGTTTAAGCGGTCTCCTCGCCGCTTCCTACTACGCTGAGTGTTGTGGGTGCGATCCCCACATGGGACGACACTTTGTGTGATCCACAAATTGTTCTGAGTCTGGGTGTCCTTTGTGTCCGTTTCATATATTATTATGTTTGTAAGGCGGGAGTTGTCTTTAAAAAAAAACATCGGATAAATTAATTCTTGAGGAAGGTTTAGATGCAGAACTTGCTTAAATATGAGGTGTAAGGTATATTATATTATTATTCTGACCGGGATGGACGTTTGTTACCCAATCACACCAGAAGAGCTAAACAGATCTCAGTGAAAATGTGCACAGAGGTAGATTATAGGTTTTAATACCATATAGGATAGTTTTATGTCAGAAAATTGACAATATCGACATAATTTCAAGCGAGGCAGCTTGTCCGAGGCTTCGCTAAGCTAGGAAGATAAGCTTTGACTTGCCTGTTTGTCTAGTGGTTAGTGACCCTGACTCCTACGCCAGAGACGACCTCTTCGGTTCGATTCCCACCCAGAACACATAATTGTGTGATGAGCACGGTCATTTGTTCTGTGTATGGGTGTACTTTATCTATAATATGTATGTATTTAGAAATATATGTATGTTTATCAGCAGTCTGGTTACCGTAGTACAGGCTCAGCCTGGTTTCTGGTATTATTATTATAGCTAAAAATTAATGCTATACATTGTCCTTATGGACAATAAAAACTTTCCTTCGTAGCTCTTTATCTAACTTCGCTTTAGAACAGAGTAATTTATGTCTGCTGTTAATAACAATTTTCTTGAATTATCTCCTTCCAGACGGTAGTTTAATAATAGCGGCGGTGTCTCGGTCGGGCGGGTCTCGTTGCTGCGTGGTGTGCGCGCTGTGCTCCGTGGCGACGGCCGCGCCTTCTCCACAGATCAAGATATCGCCGCTGCCCACCATTTACCTGCCCCACCAATACGTTGCGTCATCAGGTATATCACGAACAATAAACACCTAGTTTTTAGAGTTTGTTTCAAGTTTTTCACTTTGCAGTAAAATTGTCCTGCATAGTTTGCTCCCTTAGCCGACTATTACGACACCCACTAGATGATTAGGAGTGATGACACTTCGTATTCCTCATCCTTCACCGCACGCACAAAAAAAAAACAAAGATCTTTCGCGATTGCTTTGATTATTAGTGATTATATGATTTATCACAGGTGATTGCGATTTTATACCATCCCTAAAAGTCACTATTAAACAATGACTTTCAGGCTACTTTTGGCCAGTCACAAGACTTATGCAAAGCTACTCTTGCCTGTTTTATATTGTGAATACACAATTAACGTGTAGTAACACCTTATGGTAAGTAACTACCGCCGCCCATGAACACCCGTATATCATAGAGTCACAAGTGCTTTGAGTGCTACTCCAAGAATCAGGGAGGGGGGGAGGGTCAGTAAAGGAACAAGTTTGCTAAACACTGGTCCGGTTTTCTGTGAGACCGCGGTATCACACGGCGAGACTTTTATCTGTAAAATACATTAAGTTTTTTTTATGTACCTATTCATTTTATTCATAAAATATAAGCTTAAAAAAATAAATATTATCACATTTACATTGTTTACATAAAAGCATCAAAAAAATCCTCTGAATCATTCATTTGTAAAATTTATATACTAATGAACTTAAGCTTGATTCGTATTCTCTCACGTGAATATTTTTAATCCTTTGATGTCTTGTTCCAGTATCGATAAGCTGGTGGCACCGCGAAGACCCAGACTCCCTGCTGGTGGCGGGCAGTACGCTGTCGCTGTGGAAATGCACGGAGCGATCACACCAAGTTCACAAGCTTTTCTCCAAAGGTAACCGTTTCCATTTCTGTAAAAGATTTAGTATCAGACCGAAACACGAATGAAAAACGTACAAATTGGAGCCTTGCCCTTTGCTGTATTTTAAAATGCAACCTTAAGAACACAGTGTTACAAACGATTTCACGTTGGCATCGCTTTCTTTCCAATATGATTGAAATTACATAGTTAATTGATTTATCTTTTTACTTAGAAGATAAATGTGGTGACGGATTAGGAATACAAATTGTCACCACCCAAATTCTTCCCGTGGGTGTCGTAAGAGCCGACTAAGGGAGCAAACTAAGCAGGACACCAGCACTGCAAAAAGAAGGAAAACTTGAAACAAACCCTTTTTTTTTTTAACGTGTTTAAATCCCCTCGGACCGTCACCCCTCCGGGGTTTGCGGCGGGGTGGTGTGTCGGACTCGGACCGACTAAAACCACACGGTGTGCCACTCTGCGCCTGTAACAGGAGGGATCCGGGAACAGCTGTTGTTAAGACATCCGGACCCCTCCTAGCGCCAGCCCGCTCCTGGTGCGGGCTCCGTCTCAGTGTTTTTCCTCTCTTTAGGCGACGTCCGGCACACGCGGACGCCGCCCCCTCGCGGCTGGCCAAACTAATGCGGGTGGAGGGGAAACCCACCCCGTCCACCCGCGGCCACACTCAGGGCGGCATGAGGCTGTGATAGGCGGGCCTCCGCCGCCCGGTTAGCCGGCGGCGGATCGGGTCCGAGTGGAGGTCGTCCTCCCGGGCCCTCTCCACCGCCTCCTTCCGCGAGATTACTACCTCGCAGAAGGTTGCGACCGCGGTAAAACAACTGTCGCTACCGGCCATGGAGCGTACTACGGCCGGTAGCGAGAGATCCACTCCGATGACTGCAGTGAGGGCCCGGCGCTGCGCCGCCCATGCGGGGCAGACCGCCAGCGTGTGCTGGGCCGAGTCCTCACTGCAGTCGCAGTGGTGGCAGGCGGGACTCAGTTCCCTCCTAGCGACCGTGTGCAGGTACTTTCCGAAGCAACCGTGCCCGGAAAGCACCTGCGTCAGCCGGAAGGAAAGGGTCCCGTGCTGCCGCCCTGCCCACTCGGCGATGACCGGCTGGAGAGCCTCCACGGCGGCGAAGCCAGCGCGTGGAGTCTCCAGCCGGAACGACCAACGAGCCATCGTGGCTCGGCGAGCGGCTTCGCGCCACTCGCGCACATCCTCGGGCGGAGGGCGAAATCCGCTCTCCGCCCGGAAGTCAGCCACTCGCCGATAAACTTCGGCGAGCACTTCCGCCTCCAAATCCCACGGGGGAGTTCCGGCCAATGCGCATGCCACCTCCGTCGAAACGGTGCGGTAACCGCGTATGGCTCTGACCGCCATTACCCTCTGAGGGCGCCAGAGGCGTACCCTATTCTGGGCGGTCAGAGCCGCCGCCCACACCGGTGCACCGTACAGCGCCATTGACCGGACAACCCCCGTGTACAGCCGTCTTGTCGCGACGCTGGGTCCACCCATATTGGGCAAAAGTCGCCCTAGGGCAGACGCAGCGCCGACCAGCTTTGGAGCAAGCTGTCGGAAGTGCTCGTCGAAGAGCCACCTCCCGTCGAGGATCAGGCCCAGATATTTCATCTGGGCCCGAACCGGTACGAGGACCGAGTTGACCACGATTGAGGCGCCAGGGGGTGGTCCACGACGGGGCCCATGGAATAACAGGGCCTCCGTCTTATCTAGGGCCACCCGTAAGCCCAGCGCCTCAATGCGCCCGACCACCAGGGAGACTCCCCCTGTGGCCAGGCGCGCCGCCTCTTGGAAGTTTGCCCCCCGGGCTGTCACGAGGGTATCGTCTGCGTAACAGATTACACCCAGCCCGGGGGGGAAATCGGCGCGAAGGGCCCAGTCGTACCCTATGTTCCACAAGAGGGGTCCAAGAACAGACCCCTGTGGAACACCGCACGACATGGGCCGACACCTCAGATTACCTTCTCGGTCCTCGTACACGACGGTACGCTCCTCTAAATAAACCCTATACCAACCCGTCTGGCCAGCGTGGTATAGTAGGCCAAAACCTCATTTCTAAGGAGAGGCCTATGTCCAGCAGTGGACTAGTATAGGCAGTGGATGACTTAGAAAATACTGTTAATGATAGACTGATTAGTTTCGAGCTAGGTTCGTGTTACCGCGGGCTCCTGTTGGGTCGGGAATAAGTCAGTCAAAAAATAATAAAACATTTAATCACTATATTCAGGGCCCCTTCAGGGTAGTACTACCCCTGGTGGAGGTCTGCAGTCTGGAGCGGATTGTTTCAATACATTGGTGAGTCTTTATATCAAATATTAAAAAAAAATAACTTTATTAAGGCATTATTACATAACAAATAAATTATCTGTGCTTGTCTTTAATTTTATTTAAAAAATTACTGTATTATGTATTTTATTTAAATATTTGTTTAAATACTTACATTGTTTTAAGGAGATTGTTTAAGTCAGTAATCTATGAATTGAAGTGCTCTATAGAGTAGTTTCAATATATTATGTACTCGTAGTCGAATAGTGTAGTTTTAATTTTATGCGATCTGCGTATAGATATTAAAACCAGTTTTTTTTTTAATTTCTCCCTTTGTGGTTAGTGTCGATATTTTTGTTATGAAAAATACTCAATTGTTGTGAACATTTGACTTATCGTTTTAGTAATTTAAATGCCTAAATATTCAAAGGCATGATAGACCAGGCTCGATGATTTTTGAAACCAAAAAAAATAATAGTAGGATGAAACCCGTTAAAAAGGACGAGAATATAACAAAAATGAAAAAAAAAAAATTTACGTGTGAAGTGGAAGGGGGGGGGGGGGGTTAAGGGTAAAAATACGGTGTATCTCGATTTCCGGCAAAACTTCAAGTCCTATGGAAAAAAACAAATGATAAAGTTGTAGGTAATAAAGAGACCTACAACTTTTGTGATTACACTTTTTGCACATAACCTCAAAATTTATGTGAAAAATTCAAATAATCAAGTTTTTGGTTTTTTCTTTTTATCTTAAAATTAAAGTCGAATAATATATATGACCCGCCTAGCCCCTTCCCCACTTCTCCTTTTTAGGTTATGTTAACCTAAAAAATTAAAGTCGATAGACATATATGACCCGCCTAGCTCCTTCCCCACTTCTCTATGAAATACCTTTTGATAGGCTAAAATTATCACTAGGTAACTCAGGTATATAAGTTATCTTAAAATAGCAATAAATAGGCATCTATGCACATCATTTAAAGAATATTCTACAACTTTCTCAAAATATTGTAGATGTCTTATTAAATATTAATTTATTTGGTTGTTAATTATAGTAGTACATTTCGATTTGTATTTTTTTGTTTATCAATGTAACATAGAATCTTACGTTTTTCAAGTAATTAAAGTGTAAATTTTACTAAATAGCTTAAAATTTTACAGTGATTTTTTCTTTTCTTTTCATTTTCTGAGTACATTTACCATAGTAATGTATATATATTTTACACATTATCAGAAAGAAGAGATTTTAACGAACAAAAAACTCCCCGATTTTAAAAAGCTGATATTTTGACGCGAGAATTTTTGATTGAATATTCGGGTGTTTTTTCGATATTAAGTTAAAATAGGGTAAAAAAATACATATTTCAAATCAAAAAAATTACAATGTCTTTAGGACATAAAAAGCTAAGTTTTCACCAAATTTCGTGAAAAATTTTTTTTTTGCATAAGATAAAAATACAAAACCAAAAACTTGATTATTTGAATTTTTCACAAAAATTTTTAGATTATGTGAAAAAGTGTCATTACAAAAGTTGTAGGTTTCTTTATTATCTACAACTTTGTCATTAAATTTTTTTCCATAGGACTTGTAGTTTTGCCGGAAATCGAAATACACCGGCTTTTACCCTTAAATCCCTCCCCCCCCCCTCTTCCACTTCCCGACCTCAGATCGCCCGTAAATATTTCGCCCGTATTTTTCCTTTTATTTTTGTTATATTCTTGTCCTTTTTTAACGGGTTTCATCCTATTATAATTTTTTTTCACTTTTTACCATTTTCAAAATAATCGACCCTGGTCTATGAAAAAAATGTGTTTGGCTGGTTGCACGTTGTAAAAAAAACGCGGCTTGACCTGTCACTTTTTAAAGTGCGTATTGTAATCATAGAGAGAACAGGGGGTACAGCTGCCCGTAAGTGGAAGCGATACAGGCAACGAGAGAGATGCAGCATTAAGCTGGACTAGAAAGAGACAGAGGCATGTACGGTAACGGTGTGCGCAGGTGTGGCAGAGCGTGTCGGCGTGGGCGGCGGAGGCGGGGCGCGTGTGCTGCGCGCGCGTGGCGGTGGGGGCGGGGGCGGGGGGGGGCGCGACGCACGCCGTGCTCGCCGCGCCGCGCGCGCTGCACCTCGTGGCGAGGGACAGCGCGCACATCGTACGTACGACAGCCGCTCACTCACGTTACGGCATCATTCATTTTTGTAGCTTCTCATTCTATAGGCGGTGGCGTTGTGTTCGTTTCGAATGTCTGATCTGAATGTAATCTCTTGCTGTGTCTAGATCTAAATCGATCCAGAGTTTATTGTGAGAAATCTTATTTATTTTGTGTACTCCCAATGCAAACTGCCGCTAAACTCTACCACGAACGCGGTGTCCACTTTTTTTGGTCATCGGTTTTTTACTATTATGGGTCAAATTGCACTGATAAATAACAGCTAATATTAGAAATTAATAAGGTAACAATTTTTAAAGCCTACATTTAAGAGAAATACAAAAAAATATTTAAGTAGATATTTTTATTAGAATATGGCATACTAAGTATACTACGTAACATTGTTCCAAAAATTAAGACTTGGCTTAAAGGTCTTGTTACCAGGCCATAAAAATACAAAAAAAAAGTAATATTGTTCAATCATGAGATTAATCCATAGTAGGTAAGCTTTTCGCCTAAACATGACGTTGTCTATCGATTTCTCGTTATATTTGTAGACATCTTACATTCTTCATAACATACTCAAAGTAAACATTAAAAATGAAAACAAAACTGTCAACGAGTGCATAAACAAAACCGTCATTCATATGTCACTTGTGACGCGTCATAGACAATTGTCAAACTTGTAATTTTATTTTTGTTGGGCATCGGTAATTTGGCATTTTAATTTTTTTTTTATTCCATTTTTATCCCTTAACTAAACCTCTAAAAATATTTAATTCTTATTTTGGAATCGCCTAAAAGTAGCAAATTTAAGTATTAGAGAATTTATGGTTAAGTTCAGATCACATTGTATACAGGGTTATGCGTAAAGGTAAAAACCAAAAAATAGCCTTAATTATTTAAAAAAAATTGAAGCATTTAAATTATTAGACATATTTTGTTCACTAATTTAAAAGAAAAAAAAGAAATTAAACTTGAAATCAGATCTCGCTTCAAAAACCAATTATTATATTACAGTTATGTAGTCGGCCAGTTATCACAAGCGGCGGTGTGGGTTCGAGCTTGGCTGAAGTGACCACCACACCGCCTAAAAAGCCCAAATATGGTCCTGGAGTAACGGTGAGTACCTTTACGTCAAATCAAAATTATAGGTACTTTGCAATGACATGAATTGTATTCAGTGTAGGCCAATTGCATCGCCAACAGTTACCGTGACGAACGAGTTGATCTGAAATAAACTCACACTGGGCCCTCAAATCAAAATTGACTGCTCGGAGTGCATAGTGGTTTAAGCGGTTTCCACGCCGATTACTACTGCACAGAGTGTTGTGGGTTAAAACCCCACATGGGACGACACTTTGTGTGAACCACAAATTGTTGTTCTGAGTCTGGGTGTTCTTTGTGAAGTCCCCCGCGACACTGGATATACATATTTCTAATGCGGGAGCTGTATTTATAAGGAAAAAATAAAAAAAGAGATATATGGTAATTTTTTTTTTTTTTTTTTTTTATATCAAGAAAATTATATTATTGTTAAGTGATAGATAAAACACTACTTTGTAAGCGAAGCCGAAAGTGTAAAAATAACCTCTCACTGCCATCTGAACCCAATATAGAGAACGTGTCCCAGGCTGCTGATAAACATACAAATACATTTCTAAATTGTTTATCCTGGGAAGGAATTGAACCCACGACCTCTTAGCAGTTAGGATAACCAGCCTAGGTCAAAAGCCCCTTAAGATCCCGTAAACTACTATAATTGATTGTTCCCTGTTTTGTCCAATCCTTAACTTTTTGTACTTAAAAATAAAAATCTAATATAATTAGATTAAATAACAATCTGTTATCCCACAGAGCGGTGGCGGCGGGGCCGTGGTGTCGTGCGTGGAGATGTCGCAGCTGGGCGGGGTGGTGGTCGCCATAGACACGTACGCGCAGCTGCACGTGTATAAACTGCCGCAACCCTGGGCGGA